AAAGAGTTCAACACTCCATCTCAGTAAGTTAAAGTATTTTATTGGAGTATTTCATTATCTTAGTAAATATTTAATATTAAATTTTAAATATGTTCCTTTATTTCATTTTTAATTTAAAAAAAAATTAGGAGTAATCAAAGTTAAAAGAAATTAAAGGAATAAGTAAAAAAGAAAAAAAAAGGAACAGTAAAACCATGTCAGACCACTTACCCCTCCCAAGAAGACCTTTTACCTCTTTTTTAAATTCCCTTAAAAATGATATATTTTCAAATATAATTAATGGGTATGAATGGTAAAAAAGCAAAGAAATAAAAATAACTTTAATTAAAAAAAAGAAGAAATTTTGAAGAGAAATTTGAAAATAAAAAAATTTAAATTTTTTTTCTATTTAATGTTTAATTTCTAGCTTTTTAAAAAAATATTTTACTTAAATTTTTAAATGTATTCAATGTTGAGTTTTTTGTTTTGTTTACAAATGTAACTGGTATTCAATTTGTTTAGGAACTTAATTTCATGTATTTTTAACAAACAAACAAAAAAGAAAATAACAAAAATAAACAAATAAAAACTATTTATTTTATTTTTATTAATCGATCTTTAAAATTTAATTTTTAATAATAGTTATGAATAGTTATGTTATGAATGCATTTTCTTATGTAATGAATTATTGCATTTATATTATTTATTTTATTGCTTGATATTATTTACTAGAAATATAATAACAGATGTTGAAAAAGATTTGTTGTTAAAAAGAAAGTTCAATGAATTACTCAATCATCAAAATGAATTAAATGTTCAGCAAGAAGAACAAGTAAGTGTTCAGCAAGGATTTTATAGAATCTTTTATGGATAAGAAAAAAATTTTAATTTTTTTAAATTTTCATCTAACTACAGCTAATGTTTTAAAATAACAAAAATATTAAAACAAAATTTAGTTTTAATTCTTATTTAGTTTTATGAAATAAAGGTTGTTGTTAAAAATAAAAGTTATTAAAAATTAGGGTTTGTAAATTTGCCGACTTTTTAATTTACTGGTGATTCGGTAGATGAAATTTGTAATAGCTGTAAATTGGTAAATTACCAATCTTTATTGATATCTTTACATATCAATAAATCAATACATTTTTTAAAATACCACTTTTATTAAATATCATTTTTCAAAAATTAGCTTTGTAGAAAGCTTAAACTATCCAATGTCTTGTCTCCTATTCGAGATCTAATTTTAGTACAAATTAGTTCAGCTTCTGAAAATACTTTTTCAGGTTCAACACTTGTTGGACAAATTTTTCCTTCATAGAAAAATCAGCATTTGGTTTAACAGTAATTGAGGTCATTAATTTCGAATCTGATTCATTTAGGTGTCTTTGTATACTCTCACCAGATTCCACATTATTGTACAAAATATTTTTTACTATGTCAACAATAGTTTTAATAATTACGGCTTTACTGCTGATATTAAAAATGCCATAGTTGTCTTCAACAGAAATAATAACATTAGGGTCTGTTATATAATGTAACACGTCTGAAAACATCATTCTTCTTTCTTTAATAGAACTTATTAATTCATTTTTTAGTGCAATACTTTTTTTTATTTAATTCATTATTAGTTTGCATATACAAAAAAAAAAAAAAAACCCAAGTATATAGGTATTGTGGTTTATCCTCCTCGGACTAATTGCCATATAGAGGCCATTTTATATATATATATATATATATATATATATATATATATATTTTTATATTTTGACTTAAGAATTTTTTTTTATATATATATAAAAAATACTTTTATATATATAAAATATTTATATATATATATATAAAATTTTTAATTGCACACATTAAAACTATAAAAAAAAGTTTTTTGGTTACTTAACTCATCTAACATAAATTTTAATGTAAGATCGGTTACATAAAAATTACCCTTTTCAGTGCAGAGTGTTTCAACGGCAAACCTAATAGATTGCAAGCTTGATAATTTAATTGAAAGTAATTTTACTTCACTTTTGTTAAAATCAATTTTTAAATCTATAAGACTTTTTCGAACAGCATCTTTAAGTTTTAAAAATCTTTCCAGCATGCTTAATAAACTACTTCATCTAGTTTTGCAGTCTAAAATTAAAGAAAATTTTTTTCTGACAATTTTTTTAACATACTTCTGCAGTAGTTATCATTTTTGGTTGGTGATTTTCTGAAAAGTTTTACAACTTTCCAAATTTTTGTAATTAAAGAATTTAGCTCCGGGTTTTGTAGAACAAGTTGGGTAGTGTCGATATCTTTGTGGTCTACTTCAAAATTTTCAAGTTCATTTTCCAAATAATCAGTATCAGAATCAACATTAAGTAATACATTAGCATCATGTTCATTAACATCTTGTACATCTGTTGAACTAATATTATAAAGTACTTTTATGATTGCCAATTGTAGGTCATGTACGATACATAAGTGATGGTTTTTATTAAGTAACTTTATCCTTCTCTTGTAAACGGCAGCTCCGTCTGATGTTATGCACACAATATTTGATAAAGCTTTAATAAACTTTTTAAGCTTCTTTTTAATTAGTTCTGCGCATACCTCAGCAGGTGCGGATCCATGAATCCGGTTCAATCTAAGATTCCAAAAATTACCGTGATTTTCATGAATAATATAATTTATATACCAGTGGTTTATATTTGATGTCCATTTATCTGTGGTAAGGCTTTAAGCTTTTTTATTGAGGTTGTTCTGTGAAATTTCCTTTACAACTTCTTTTCTTTTTTTATCGGCATAACCCATTATTTTTTAGTGAATAGTTTTGGGAATTTTTAGTAACTCTATGGGGGTCATCCATAAAGTACGTCACGCTACTAGGGGGGGGGGGGGGAGGCATAAGTTTGTGACAATTTGTGACAAGGGGGGAGGGGGGAGTTTGACGAATGTGACATCACAAAAATTATTTATCATGATTATTTTCTACTTATTTACTCATTCAATTAAAGGAGTATTTCCGATTGCCTAAAATTTTACTTACACTTCTTATGTTTTGCGTATCGCCGTATTTTAAATAGTTTTGAATAGTTTAAAAAGTTCGCAAAAAACTGCCTTCACGTTTCTGAAGACATTAAAGCGCAGCAATGCAAAATCATTAAATTAAGAACGTATAATTTAAGTTTGGAATTTTAAATAGAGAGTTTAAATAAGTAAATAAAACATTTTTAAAATATTATCTTTTATATTATTTATTTTTTTGAATCTTATGGCATTATATAAACATAAGAGTTTTAGTTATATTTACATTTAAGCAAGAATATATGACTACTTAAATATATAATATATAATAACTAAGTTAAATAGACTTGCTCATGCTTTGAATAGCCAATAGCAAACAAAGATTATTATCAAATAATAGTGTAAATAGGATAGAAGTTAGTTAGCGCTCAGTATAACTAAGTTAGTAGTAATTGATATTATGGCATAAATACAATATTTTTAATTTCTCTAAATGAGTGCAAATGTGTTTCAGGCAATTCATAATATAAAGATGGACAAAGGACAGTTATACGCATCACTTTATGATGCCTATGTTAAGGCATATTCACAGAAGAGGAAACAAGATTGTCAAAAGGAAGTTAATGATATTTGGAGTAAGGTGAAATCTGAAGATAATCTTTCTGCAAAAGTAGACTCCCTGTTAAGAGAATATGATGCTCTGTTTAAAAAGAAAAAAGGTACACTGATGAGTTTCTGGGCAAATCAATCATTACGACATGATGATGCGAAAACTATACCACGTAAATCATTGGCTCCGGATGTTCTAGCAAAATTACCAGATACTGTTGTAGGGGGGTAATAAATGTAAAGCTTCTTCTTGTGAATGTTCTATGATAACTTCATCAACGTCTGGTTCTGAAAATGTAGGAAAATATAAAACAAAAGTTCAAGATGAACTAAAAGTTAAAATTGATGTTATCAAGAGTGATTTAGTTGGACTACATAAAAGAAAAGACAGTGGTATTATTACGAATGATCAAGAAACAGAGCTTATTGAGAAAAGAAGAAAAGTAGATATGTTGGAGAAAAGTTTGTTAAAAAAAAAGAAAGAACAAGCAAGACAGAAAAAAACTAGAGCAAAAAAAAGAGAAACTCTCGCTAAAATTTGCGCAGAGAACCCTGGAGTTTGTGATGCTTTGAAAGCAAAAGATAAAACAGGTCGACCTTCTGTTGAAATTAATCAACCACTTTTCCTGAAAGCCATTGTTGATATTGCTTTACATGGATCAGCTGCACATGAAAGACGACAAAGTGATATGTATCGCAGTATTAAAACACTAGATGAATTGACTAAGCAACTAAATAAAGATGGTTATCAGGTGAGTAGGAGCACCGTTTACACTCGGCTAATGCCACGACGAAGTTCAACTTTGGAAGGAAAAAGACACATATCAACAGTGCCAGTCAAATTGATCCGATCTCAGAATGAGTCACACTCAAAGCACATCGATGGAAAATTCTGTACAGCAACCTTGAGACACCTGGAAGAGTTGTCGTCTATACTGGGACCAAAAGAAGTCTGTTTTATTAGCCAAGATGACAAAGCGCGAGTCCCTATTGGGTTAACAGCTGCAATCAAACAAGCTCCATTGCTTATGCATGTTGAATATCGCATCAATTTGCCAGACCACGATTGGGTTGTTGCAGCAAGACATAAGCTTATTCCATCAGTATATGCTGGAATTTGCATCAAGAAAGATGGACTTGGTAAACCAGACGCTGTTACGTATTCAGGTCCAACTTATATTGCAATCCGATCAGGCAAACATTCGTCTTCTTCTGCTCTTGCTCATGGTTTAGACTTTGAGAGATTGTTACAATTAGACGAATTTGATGCAATAACAAAAGAGATAAGATAATAAAGCCTATTGTTGTCTTCACGGTGGATGGAGGACCAGATGAAAATCCACGTTATCAAAAAGTCATAGATGTTGCTATCCACCATTTTGTTAAAAATAATCTAGACGCCTTATTTATTGCAACCAACGCGCCAGGTAGAAGTGCTTTCAATAGAGTGGAACGTCGAATGGCTCCACTGAGCAGAGAACTTTCTGGTGTTATATTGCCTCATGAACGCTATGGTAGCCATCTCGATTCACAGGGCAGAACAATAGATGATTATTTGGAGAGAAGAAATTTCAAGTATGCTGGACAAACATTGGCTGAAATATGGTCACAAGTTATTATTGACCAGTTTCCAACAGTTGCCAAGTTTATTGATCCAGAGACATCTGAGCTAGATGCAGAAGAATTGATAATTAAAGATATAAAATGGTTTTCTGAACACGTCCGCACAAGTCAATACTTTACTCAAATTGTTAAATGTCAAGATGTAAAATGTTGCTTTAAAATAAGAAGCTCATATTTCAATGTTGTTCCTTCGCGATTTTTATGTCCTCCAATTCCAGTTATTCAAACAAGTAATGGTCTTCAAGCTGACAAAAGAGGAGACAGTGAGTCTCAAAAGTATCCATCACGTTTTGTTTCACATAGTATTAAAATAGATGATATAATGGCCAGATCGGCAGGAAGTTTCCAAGTTCATCCTTATGATCTCTTTTGTCCATCAGTACAGACTTGTCTATTGAATCGAATATGCAAAGTTTGCCATCTCTATTTTGCTTGAAAAAACATGTTGAATTGCACAAAAATTGCGATAAAGGAAATACTGTTCTTGAGAAAACTCAAACAAAGCGTATCAGACCAATAAGAGTAGCCGCTAGAAGACAAAGAGAGCTGATGGTAGTTATTGCTCGAGAAAAAAATGAAGATATAGAGTGGCTG